TCATGTACCATGAGTACATTGGTTCCAGCTGCTGCAGTTTCGATTACCGGGAAGTAGGAGAGCATGGGAGGTATAGCCAAGCATTGGAGACGATGGCAGGTTCGGTTAGTTCGGGAAATTGTAGCTACGAATTGAAGGCGATAGATTCGATGCTCCAGCGCCATTAATTGTGCGATAAGACCATTTCTACCAGTGTAATTAAACATGGATGAAGTTACTCCCGGGGTTATCATCGAGGTAGGTGGCAGTTGACAACCCGACTCAGTTTACTGGTTAGTGTTTTCATATTTCGTTCCCGGGTCATACAGTTCTAATCTTTTGGTCGCTCCTACTTTGCCTGCGGCTGGGAAGAAGGAGATCTGGGAGGTAGACGGTCCTCTGGCATGCGGAGTACATGTCCTAACCAGTGTAATCTATGAAGCGTGAGTAATTCATCTATCGTAGGAGAAGTTATCCTTAAAACCATTTGGCGTACCTCAGTATTACTAATCCAGTGGTCCCGATATACCCGACCAATGTTTTAGAGACGATGACGGCCAAATACTGATCCTTCTGTACATCCTCTACGCGTATAGGTAACGTTTCTTATCCCTGAAGCACTGACGGGCGAATTGACTTCGATGCCATAGGTGTCGGGGGTTGGCAAGAGCTACTTTAACCTTATCGATTCGAGAAGCAATCTCACCTCCAGCTAGTCCACCGGAACTTATACAGCCATCCAGGTAAATAAATCTACCTACCACGTCAATCGGCTCACCTGCAAGCATGAGTTTTGGGTTTTATAAATACTTTATCTGTAGTACCCTTTTGGGGCCTCACTCCCATGCCACCAGAAGGAAGCACGATGACTGGGACACTACCGGGTTGCCCAAGCCTAGACAGGGTAGGTTGAGAGGCAGAGATCGGGTTCGAAACATGGACCTTCCTGTCAGTAAGTTCGCGCCTAACCACTGAGCCTTCTCACCCCACTCCTTCCAAGGTACTTGGAATTCTCACTTACTCAAGTGTTTTTCCTTAGGTTCGAAGAGAAACATCCAATGACAGTGTTCTAAAGCACGAACGTATATTTTTGAGTGCAAAATGCATTCAAAGAGACCGAATGGTCTTGATCAGTTCAGCTTCTTTTTCTTGGAGGACGAGACTATGGTCTGCACACCCCAGGTCCGCAAACTTTACATCAGCAACCATTCGAGAACCGTGTTTTCGAAGACCTCCCACCTTTTGTCTCTTCCTCCAATCGACTGATGAACACAGTTAAGTTTTTCAGCTCACCACTGCACCGAATCGCAGTGGTTCCAGGTAATGCAGTATCACCCACTGAGATAAGCACAAAAACTTGTGACTAGAGCGACGCGGTGGAGGTGATGGCCCAGTCTGTACTTTGACTACAAATGGATCCATTTGTCCAATATGAACAAAAATTGTTCAGCCGTAGCGCTTTTTCGGCACTTAGCAGGCATGCCAGCAAACAGAGCAAGGCACGAGAGCTGGGGTACTGTCAGATTGCCCAAGCCTCGGCAGGAGCATTCGAGATTCTGGGGTTGGATTCGAACCGCGGACATTCCGGGCCACAAGCTGGTGTCTTAACCACTGAGCTATCCCGAGCCCTTATCTAATACGGCAGGGAGCGAGAGCTACAGAGTGATGGCGATGGCTTTGATGCAACACTGCCATCGATAAGAATAGAGAGAATGGGAATCCTTGCTCTACAGCAGTTTATGTGGCTGGTGCTCCTGTAAGCAATTAGATCCGCGGATTCCAAATACACAATTCCCCGAAGCATTCCTTGCTGTGCAAGCATGTTAGAAAAAGACCGACTGGTCAGTAGGGTCAGACGAGTTTCGGAAATCCAGGGATGTCATGTTTGTGATTCCTTCGTACGTACGCCGCTTCTCTGCAATTTTGCAGGGTGTGAAGATGTGGTCTACGCCACTTTTACTCAGTCGAGGTCCGCCTGCTGCTGTGGACTTGATACTCCGTGAGCTGTTGTAATACAACAAAGTATAGGTGATTCAGGCGTTGAGTCAATACTTGAGTCAGGCCCATCGTTTTGTGCTTGGGACACAACAGACCCACCGCTCGCACAGCCCGAAAAGTTTAGGGGAAGGCAACGGTGTGCGGATGTATGGTCACACAATAGTTCCGAAAGAAACGTCGGTAAGCAGTTAATCTGCGCTCTCAGTAACTTACAATGTGTTCAATTTGGGTCCTGTACCGTTTGGTCAGGCAATTTCAGTTGTGCTGATAGTACTGCGTGAAACATTCTGCAGTCAGAACGCAACTGAAACAGTCGTTCATCGTTATCCGTGCCGGCCGCGTCCAATCCAAGTCTCACCCAATCGAGTCCCGCCAAGTCCACCCACTTGCTCACTCATATTCAGTCAACCTCGAGGTTTTTTTGCACCCCGCAACAGAGTGAGAATTGCCTTTGGTCGCCTCAGATCTACAGCGCACTGATAGGTAAGCTGACAGTTGGCTTTGCGAGGTCCTATCCTAGAAGTTGGCAGACGAAACACACTGAGATGATTATCATTGAGTATCCATTCGAGCTAAGGCCTATCCTCTGAGTACGTTAGAACGATTTCATACCATGCGCAGCCTGTCACGTGTCTCCTGAATCACCAGAGGAGTTTCTTTTGGAAGCTGGAGGATAGTGGTGAGGTTGTTAATTAGGCTTTCTCACCACGATCTTGAATTCTTGCTTCCAATGCAAAACATGCATCAATGTCGAACTCTCAAGACCAGTCCCTGTCAGAATGCGAGTGGCAAAGGTAACTAGACAGACCGGGTCTCAAAGGTTAATTTCTATGTTTTCGGGGCTGTCAATGTCTACTGATGCGCAGACGTCGCAGCCAACGGCGGTGCCAGAAGAACGGAGTCTTCAGCCCTGCAGACAGACAGGGGTGGGTGGAGAATAGAGTTGTTTGAAAGAGGAAGGTGTTTTAGGTCGCATGTTTTCATCTAGCTGCTGCGTAAAGTGACCCGGCTGATTTTGCAGTGTTTTCAGTTGCCGATTTGATGGTCGTATGGGGACCGAGATACTGACAAGGCACCCAAATCCCGACAGGACATTTGGGATCATCAACAAGAACTTTCAGCTCGCAATCCTGACCGCAAGGCAGTGGTGTTTGGCGCGAAATGCCAGGTCATTTTCATTCTTAAAGAGCAAGTCACCACGCCTGTCCTAACTTTAAGCCTGAAGTGCCAGGTGGCTGTGTTAGTCAGACATCCAACCACTGGACAACCTGCTTTAAGAGACCCCTTGAATTTCACTCTGACCATTCATAACTCAGTAGGTATCGAAAGCGCTCAAGTCGTCACATCACTATAGGGTCCACTTTTTTCCCATTACTTGGAAAGATGAATAATTCGCCTATGTTGTTACCTTGTAGAGAAAGTTCAAACACGAGTCGTGATGCTGCTTGAAAGCTAGATGTATTCGGATAGATGCGTACAATCCATTCGGAGTGGACCATTCCTCCTCAAGGGACGGGATAGCTCAGTAGTTAGAGCGCCAATTTACTGACCGGAAGGTCCGTGGTTCGAACCCGACCTCTGCCTCTCGACTTCCATCTATCTAGGCTTGGGCAACCTAGCAGTATCCAGACCCTCGTGCTTCCTTCCTATGTACCGAAAGGGTGTTACAACTGAACGATTATCTTTTTATGTGCAAAAATGGACTGTTCGTTCCTCCTACAACGACCACATCTCAGACACTGGGAGCAACGTAAATAAGGTTTTCAGTTTATCTGGTTAATGAGAAGCAGTTGAGTCAGGGAAATTCGCGAAAGTACAAAACCAATGCTCCCAGATGTCTGCCGAGTCCTGGTATCGAACCGTTCAGGATGTAAGGGTCGATCCATTGTTCAGCAAAACTTTGTGGTTCGATAAATTGCTGTTTGGCGGGGAGTGGGGCTCCGCGACAATGGAAGAGATTACGGTCACGGAAGCTAGACTTTATTCATAGAAAACTTTGACACTGTGAGCTTAAACGTAAAGTGAAGCACTGGGGAGCACAGCATGTATGCAACACACCTACAAGGTTTTCAGAAAAACGGGTTATTTCCGGCGTGTCTGCAGTAGAGCAAAACCTGAAAACTCTAGCTTGGGATTCACTTTCGATGAGCTTCTCTGCATTTTTCACCGATGCGTCTCTTAGCTGTTCAATCTCGAATCGTACCAGGTTTGATAGTAAATGAAGTCCCTCTCAATGGCCTTATCGGTACTGAAAGATTTGACAGTCACGTTTCTGATTCGGCCTTGCAAGCAAACAAGCGGGAACTATGCGAATGCTTCTGTACTCATCGTGATGTCCACTTGGGCTTCTTGTCTTTCTGCTGGTTCCTGTCTTATCGACATTCAGTAGAAAGATGTAAATAATTCTTGTTCTCAGTTTCACCCAACTTGAACACAATCACTTTACTAAGACTCTGATCTACGAGACAAAATGTTTGGCTCTTGGCCTAGTCTGCTCTCAGGTGAATCGTATCCTAAAGATATTCTCTGTTGCAACGGATAACCTTTTGTATCACCTTCTCACATTCATTTGTAGCTTTCCCCCGAACCCTTCCTCGGTGAATTTTGGCGTTTATCGGTCGTCCTGATGTTTTACTACTTTGCCTTCGGCAGCAATCTACTGAAACAACGCATTCAGTTGAAGAATCCCTCCGCTGAATTTATTGGAGTGGGTCGCCTCGTTGACTATGCTCTAACATTCTGTGGAGTTAGCCACACTTGGGGTGGTTCCCCGGCCACAATCGTCCGTAAGGAATCACACTGTGTGTATGGCGCAATCTGGAGGCTTGCCGATTCAGATTTGCCTTCGTTAGATGCACAGGAATCAGTACCCGTATTGTACACCCCCTTGTTTGTTTCAGTTTGTTTGGAAGCCGATGGTGAGCTGAAGGTTTGAAATTCATGCTAACCATTGATGTCGTATTTCTCATTTAAAGCATCTCACTTGTAGATCTTATGCTACCGTCTCTCACCAAGTCGGACGGCCTTCGCCTCACTACTTGGATATCATCCTTCGGGGAGCGATTCAGTGCAATTTGCCTGGGACGTATATTGAGCAGTTGCGAAACATCGAACACACTGCAGTTTTCGACAACTGTACTCTGTATACGGAGGTGTTGAGTCTTTTGGATCCGAGGGATCGTGGAAGCTTTCAAGTCAAAGAGTTGATGGAATATGGTTTTTCTAAGGCTTAGGGGTAGGTTTCACCCCCCGTGGCGAACGACGTTTTTCTACCCGGTTATGAACAAACTGATCATACATTATTTGAATCAGTGGGAGGTCTTTAGGTTAGCCTACTCATATCTGTTGAACACTGTCCTGTACAGATTGTTCTTCTACTGTTTCTACGTTAGAGTGTCATTATCTTCACAATTATGTGTCTGTCTTTCCTCGGATGACCCAATAATAATGTTTTCTTATTCACCCGATTTGTCCTGTTTTTTTGCTACTGACCGGGTGACGTCGTGGTAAACGATATATGGGGCTACTTGCATTCAGATTCGGCAATCTCAGTGTGGTGTTGAACTTATCAAGTCCCGTGCCTTCCTCAAGGGTTTGTTTGTTGATGACCCATGGCAGGTGGATGGAATGCAACTAATTCAGAATCTGCTAGGATATGTATGATAGTAGTCTTTCGACTATCATATCAAAATTGCTTGTTATGGCTCCTGCATGCCCCTGCACGAGCGCATTTTTAGACCCGTAAACATTTTGTGACCCGCCATCTTCACCGAATTCCACTAGTATCAGTCACACCCACACTACTTGCTCGCAGAATTCTCATTAGTATAACGTGTCCCTACATGAGGCTTCACTCAAATCGTTCACCTTTATCACCCTCTCGGTGCTTAGCTGCCATGCCAGCAAAAGTCACAACGGCTGGGACACTACCAGGTTGTCCAAGCTTAGGAAGGAGCAGTCGAAATGCTGGGGTTGGGTTCGAACCACGGTCCTTCCGGCCTGTAAGCTGGCGCCTTAACCACCGAGCTGTCTTGAGCCCTTGTCACAGTCCAGCACATTTCATTCGTATAGGCTAGGTAACCGTCAGTTCGGCTGCTGTATATATTTTACCTATGGTTCAACGGACCAGATACTTGAACGCCACTTGTACTTTTGAGCCCTGTTCGCAGGTCACACTAGAGCAGGATTCGGGCGACTAATATCGTGATGAACATACACATAGGAACATCGGTTGAACAATCTAACCGTGACGTGTTCCATAATGTCTCTATGGGGCGAAAATCGGAAACCAGGTGGAAAGCATCTGGCGCATTCCTGTATAAAAATCGATGGCACAAAACGATGGAAGGATAATTTAACAACCTTAGATTATCATCCGGCTCAGTCAAACAAACCTTTTACTGTGTTTCTATATAAGTGACGCTGGCGGGCTATTCCAAGTGCAGTTGATGAATAAATGCCATTCCAGTCGCTCGTGTGTTTTCGCTTGAACTTGGTGTGTTGGCCACCCCTGGACGATGGCGCTCAAAGCTAGGAATTAAACCCGACTCGAAAGATTGGTAAAACCGAAAATATGACTGTTCTGTAACAATAGTTCTCGCTTGTTTGGACGAACAGTTGGTAACTAGAATGTCCTAGTGGTGAAAGGAAGAAGGCCTTCGCTGCGGAGTTATTTATTAGAAAATGCCAACTGAACAGTTACAGACTATTGGACAGGGAAACAAAACTCCCGGATGCATCTTGTTTACAAAAATTGAATATCCGTCTTCTCTTTGAACGCGTCTTTCTGAACTTTCCTGGATATTCATTAACTGTTTCTCAAATCCAAGCAAATCCTACACAGCAGTGCTACTCCACAAATTCCGCAATAGATCTCAATTCTCACGAGATGCAAAGCGGATTCACAGAAAGACATACTACTCGCATACCCCCATCAGTAGTATCACCGTTACAATGGTAGCAGTGGTCCCTCTTCGGAATGAAGTTTTCGTATGAGAACAATGTCCTTCGGTCCCTGCTTTTTTGCCCCTGAATTCCTCTTAGAGAGAATACTCCACACAAAACGACGCTCGACAAAAAATCAACTTTTGCCGACTGTACCTACTCTGGGTTGTTTCACTCATCGAATTTGTTCAAACGACCGGTTCCGTGAATCATGACAGACTTATTTTTTGACGGGTCGCTTAGATATGGCAACAACTCATGTGTCTAACACTTGGAACAAAACACTGAATAGGAAGAAAATCTGTCTGATCTGGACTGGTTCCCGCCGTTCGGAAAGACGAAAAACCACATTAACCCTCGGTTTTCATTTTATTCAGATGCCAGTATGCATTAAGTGACTACAGCATCACATCTGCCCTCTTCGGTTGAATCGTGTCCACATCGCGCAATCCGTGTGAGCCCAGCAACTGATATTCGCGAAATGAGATGATACGAGCAAGGAGGTGACATTTTGCACGTTACAAGTTCGCACAAATCCATCAGTTTAGCTAGCGGATGACAATTATGGGCTTTGGAAGCAATAGAATGCAGAGGAGGAACCCCAGTCGGAAATTTATTACCCCCACAGCCATCCGTTTTGGCAAGTTTACAATATACTTGAAAGAAGACAATTTTGTTCATTCTTGTGGGTATTCTCTGTAAGTGGGAGTTGCCTCAGTCGAGGCCGTGTACTCTATTACGTCACTCGTCTTATGGTACCGTGACATGAGGGGTGGGAAAGAAGTGGCTGGTTGACCGGACCTGTTGACCAGCCTGCCAATTTCACAGTCTCTTCCCACTGAATCACCCTGAAACGGTTCAAGAGCCCAGCCACAATGGGGCAGCGGACCATAGGTGGGACGCTCAATCACATGCACTTAGTTATTCGGGCACCACCAGCCGGATGTGCATACAAGGTGTCTGTCATCAAAATAAATAAATAGTTCAGCTGTAGCACCCTATCGGTGCCTAACTGCCAAGCCACCCGAAGGTTGCACAAGGGCTGGGATACTGCCAGGGGAAGTAGAGGCAGAGGTCGGGCTCGAACCATGGACCTTCCAGTGAGTAAATTCGTGCTCTAACCACCTGGGCCATCTCGCCCCCTTAGTCATTAGTGTGTACTCGTAAAAGTGGCTTTGACGTTTCCACTAAAGGCACCGGGCAACCAGTACCTTTAAATCCCCGTCGTGAGATACCAGGGCGTGTTGATGGGATACCCACTAATGGAATGGCCACTTATTTCAATCCAGGCTACTTGTAGCCGTACCGCTTACCCACAATTTACTCTTTAGGGTCACACCACAGCTAGATACGGAGTCTATAAAATGTGAGATGAAGTGCGGCCTTTCTGTACTGCCAGATGCATAATTTGTATTGGACTTGGTAGCTGTTCGATGTCTGCGCTTCCCATCTTTTGCCGCCCCTTAGTCTCCTAAATAGGTGCCTTAGAGTCTGATCAGTACACTCTGCTTTCTTGGTAAATGAGCGCACGCGATGCACCCCACCCCTGGATCACTGGACAAGTATGGGCCGGCTGATGAAGTAAACTCCTAGTTTCACTACACGAAGCTTGTCCAACGTCAAAAAGGCTATCGCCCTTGACATGCAGTAGGATGTATAGCTTTTTCATTCGCTCTATTGTCCCGGTGGATGCATCCCATCGATAAGCTTGTCAGGAAACGCTTCTGTTTAAGAATCGCTTTCAGAGCTTGTAACTCAGATTCAATCGGTCTAACGGGCAGATCGTATGGACTCGGTGGGCCAGACACCTGGCTAAATTACATATGTGAAAGTAAGCACTCTACTGGTCGACTCCGGTCGGTTTACGATACATGTGGCACGGAACGTATCTGGCGTGTGAACGCACATATATAGCTGTGCTTCTGTAGCTCATATGTGTTGTACATCCACGCAGTTGGGACGCACACCTAGGATATCGCCGAACCTCTGCAACAAAGTCACACTGACCACTGATCTGGTCATAAAGACGTCAGTGAGTAATGGACCAAGATGCAAGCTCGTCAGCATACCGGTCAACTATCTGCCAGTAGTGCTTACCATCGAACGGGAGTTGGACGTTCCCAGCGGATCCGAGTAGCGTTTCTTGGATGATCAACCGGTGCTCCGATTTTCTTGTTAGTCCCATTTTGAAAGAACGCAAAGATAATTCGTTTGAGATTCCGCCGTGTGAATGGACTCAATCTTGCCGAGAGGCATTGTACAGCTGTTTCCTCCTTATTGGGAATCATCAGTAGTGCACTTCCAGGGGTATTGAACGCGTGACCGTCTAAACACGACCGTTCGACCGCGAGTGGAACGCCTGTCAACAAGAATCAAACATTCACCTGAAACATTCTCCAGTTGATCATAATATCCCTGGTTCTGTCATCAGGCTGAAAAAGTATCATGTAGACTGACTTGATAGCTTAGCTGAACCTGATTCTAGCAGTTCTGATAGCAGCGTCCTAATCGATAGTCCTGGCTCGTGAACATTCGATTCTGACGTGGAGTCGGAAACAAGGGGGCTCTCCTGACAAATTTCGTTGACAAGAGCATGCGTCTACCGGAATACTGATGACACCGAACGGGGAAGGATTTATCCAGCTGCCTTTTGGGAGCGATGTTTTTGATGACCTTGCTACTAGACGAGTTTCGACTACATTTTGTCAAACTTTCGATGCGCAAAACGAATAGTTCACCTTACGAACTAGCCCATAATTGTTCAGCATCTCAAGAACATGGGTCAAATATCTAACAGAGTCCGTGAAAATCACCGTTTGATTGAGTAAAGGACACCAAAAGATTAGGACTGCAGTGGTCGAACATCGAGTCAACGGTGTAGATGATACTACGGAACCGATGTCAACCTTCCGAATTATTCCAGCATTCAACAGGTGTCCGAACACGACTCCTGGCGACAAACGAGTCCATCGCGGTTCACCCATACAATCCGTTTCTGTGTTAACAAAAAAACAGCCGATTCCTGAGCTCGGATGAAACTGTTTACTAGCCATACTGACAACTCACCGACTACCAGTTGTTATACGTACACTACGGGTTGACTACTCACTGATTACTGTCACATGAAGTCGATGGAGTTCCCGTTTTTCTTGTCTTTCGTATTTTGGTTGGCATACAAGCCTCAGGATTACTTGGCCGAACAGATATCTTTCCCAACCCCTTTGTGCTTTGTCGGCGCTTGGTGAGGCTGCAATCATTCACCCCCTGCTAGTGTTCCAACAACTGCTGAGCTGAGCCTATGGAGTTTAGGTGCACTGACCACATGTGTGCCATATCGAGCTACAACTCACAAGAGAAATCCTGGGCTTCAATAAACGAACAGATAGGCACTTAAAGTACATCCATTCAGCGGCGGAGCCAGCCGAGATGGCTTGAGGATTGAGCCCGGCTGGCGTCATTGCTCGGAGATGATCGATGTTCACTTTAACCTTATTTGCTAGGTTTCCTGCTGCCTAATGACATCAAATGAAAAGGTTTGGTTAGGCGACGGGGTGAGAAAGCTCATAGTAGATCAGATTAGAACGCTAGAAGAATGCAACGGTCAGTTTTGCTTTGTCTCGGTGCCCTTAATCTTAAAGTACAAAGCCCAGGTCGTCTGGCCTGAAAAGGCCGTGGGAAATCAGATCTATTTTCAAATCCCCTTGGGGGTCTTTCATTTCCATACCGATGAATAGTGAACATGCATTTTTGGCGAACGGTGCGTTAAGCGCGTTCGGTTCTGCCAATACAGCGTGTAAGGCTATGATAAAGTGTACTAGTGGAGCACTTGCAGTTTATACAGATCGACGTGCCCGATGCACTTTTTAAGCGATCAAATAAAAAGCGTTATTTTTAAAATGATGACTAATGGAACAAAATCCATCGTGACTGCCTGGCCACGAACGAGCGCCAGTTATGAAGCTAAGGGCACCTGTTCTTTTCGAGGTCAATATTTTGCTGTTTATTCCTAAAAAGCCGGAAACCAAGCTAATTCCAATCGGTCTCGCCGCTTTGGACAGTCGAGGCGGTCTGGACTGTAGGAGACATCGTCAAACGTCAGTTTATCGATCAGCCCCATCAACCTTCCGGGTTTCCGTCCCCATCTGACCATCCCTAGTCCATCTGAATTAAGACCGGGACTGCGTTAGACTATATCAGACCAACCAAAAGCAATTATCAGCTTGGCGCAGACGGGCGAATTGTTCGGTCGAGAATCTTGGCCGATTGTAGCTGTTTTTGTAACCGTGTCCCTGGACTGCACTGTGCGTTATTTCATCGATTATTATTCCAGGGCCACTTGTCGGTGAAACCGGAAGGCACCCTCTGATCACCCTGTCTTCCTCCACTAATCAGATTGCAGAACGGTTTTCGCATTGTGGACTTACACGTGACGTGGAATTGTTGCATCACTTGCAAGCCAGAAGTGTTGCAAACAACCTGAGTTATTATGACTTTTCTGTTTAAAATTGCTATTTTGTCTGTGGATTATGAGCAAATGTGAAAACTTCCACCGATTTCATTTTCATGGGAACATTTGATGAGAAAATGTCACTTGGAGCGGATAGCTTTTTAAAGATGGTGAACTTATAGTGTGATAGGTTTTCGCACCGCCTTAGAAGCGGTAACCAAACACCGCGATAACTAACCCCGGTGTCCTGAAGCTAATACTCCTGTGAAAATCGCTGTTTCTTGTCACTCATGGGAGCCGGATCTACTCGGCGATTTATATTTTCACCGGATTCCACTCGCCGTAAGGTCACCATCACCTATGTTACTCTCATAAAGCTATCTACATTCCGACAGCCTTGATTGGCTTCAATACAGACTTTCTAACTTTGCGGAACCTCTGGACTATGCGACTTGTGATCGATTATGAAAAGCAATCGTTCAGCTGTAGCACCATTTCGGTGCTTAGCTGCCATGCCACACGAAGGAGGCACGAGGCCTGGGATACTGCCAGGTTGCCCAAGCCTAGACAGGGGAAGTCGAGAGGCAGAGGTCGGGTTCGAACCACCGCCAGTAAATTCGCACTCTAACCACTTGAGCCATCTCACCCTAAAGTAGATTTAACCCGGTAAGTGACTGTTAACCTGATCAGATGATGTGCTGTTCAGAGCATAAAGGATAGAGCAATCAAAGGAGATTTTTTTACGGTCGTTCTCTCTTATAAAGGAATCTATCAGGATGTGCGAATCAGCGAGGGAGTGTGTATCCTCAAATTCCGGTCGGCTTTCGGGTGCGTGCGCGTCATAATCTGTTAGAAACGTACGATCAATCACTTCACAAGACGTTCACCGGTTCAATTCTTTTCTTCTAGAGCCAAGGATTGAAAACAGGGGGATTAAAATCTATTTTATGCACCTTCAGATTTCCTTTGACCTTAGAGTTGTGGGGCGATCGTTATTTCCGTAAATAATCGATAAACTGAAGATCACGGTTCAAATCTTTACCACTTGGCTCTCGCATGCCTCTGAGTCTAACGGTCACGCGTGTTGGCGGTGAGGATTACTGTTATGGAATTATCTGATGTACCGGTAAGCTACAATATCATCCTTTGTGCATGACCTTATGGCTGGGATGTAACTGTCCTGTTTCGACCAAGACATTCCTTAAGAGAAACTAAACGACGTAGTAATGTCCCCCGCCCACTACAACTTCCCCAACATCCTGGACACGATAACTTTCGAGTTCATTGCACCCATACACCAGTGCGAACGCCTGTATTTCTGCACGAAGTGTAAAGACCCTACTGATACATTGACTTCCAGAGTGAAGCTCGACATCTAGTATTCTAGCAACATCGTAGGGAACAAATATTCACCGGGACATTCGACTACCATCCTTGCTTTAAACCGCACACCTGTCTGATAGTTTCCAGGAATAGTAGCAGTTGTGTGATTCGGGGGTATATAAGTCAATCAGTATTAGAGAGCAGACGGGAATATCCTGTGGGCTCTAGTATTCCCGGGTTTTATGGTATTTTTCAACTGTCGAACTCTTTCGGTGTCACCAGAAGGATGCACAATGGCCAAGATACTGTCAGGTTTCCAAAGCCTAGACAGGGGAAGTCGAGAGGCAGAGGTCGGGGTCGAATCACATGGGCCTTCGGTCAGTTAATTCACGCTCTGATCACTGAGCTACCTTTTCTGGTATGGTATTATTCAATGGACTGCCTTCTTGAAGAGTTTCAAAGAGACCAACGCCCGCTGAATGTTGCTTCGTCAAGTTTGCTCAACCTCATCATCATTGTCAGCTGTGATAACCGCGTACTCGTCGTACAGTGAGTGGTTGTAGCTGCCGTAGTTTCGTTCACCGATGATTTGGGAGGGGGTAGGTAGTTGCGCATTGCAGGCGAGAGATGATAAATTGGTGTATAAATCCAGCACTGTCAGTCGGCTGTCAAGTTAGTGGGGGTTGGAAAAGTAGCTATGCATTGCTCAACCTCCTTATAGCCTATTCTAAAGTCGCCTGGCTTCTAGAGCCTATATTTATCCAGTCTTTCAACTCACTGTCTGGTTCTGTTCAGAAATTCAGCTTTGTATCACCTGCCAAGACACATTGGTCCTAGGGGATACAGTTTCGTTCAATGTCGGTAAGAATTACACGGAAAGAGCAGCTACTCATTGAGGGCAATAGCTCACAGGAATCCGATGTAGACATTGCCGGCGGTAAGACTCACCTGTTTCACAGTGAAAAAGATTGAATAGAGGGTAACTGTGTTGTTCAATAATGGCTACTGACAAGTAACTTCCGCGATCTCACCAAAAGAGTATAGCATCAGGGTAGTTGTGTAAAGAACCAATCACTCATATGTCGGATAACCATGGGGCAGACACATCAAGTGAAAGACATATCCGAAGGCCATTGCTTATAGCACATTTTCGCGGAAGACAATGCCTGTCTATCCACAATGCGTATATTTTTTTCGCTGTGCGGCCGTACAATGTCTATCATGCTGAAGTAGAAAACACCTCTCAAGTAGAGCATAAGGTTGGCGGAAACTCGGGGATTGCGCCTACCTTATGAGCCCCAAGAAGGGCGAAACCTGTCGTGGGCTGTCGAAGAGTTTTCAGCAGTCTTGTGAGTAGTTTCCTTTATGAAAATATACTGCGATATCTCGAATATCATGCCAACTGAATCAAGAGGCGGTCTGTGTGCAGCACATTCAGTTGTAAAACATCATAAACGAGAGATTCAGTTGAGTCACTCGTGAAAACTAAATTGATTTGCAAATGAGTGTATTTCTCGAAAACAGTGCAATTTTGGGTTCAAGTAGATCATAAGGTTGACGGAAACTCGGGAACTGCGCCTACTTGATGAGCCCCAAGAAGGGCGAAACCGGTCGTGGGCTGTCGAAGAGTTTTCAGCAACCTTGTGAGTAGTTTCCTTTATGAAACCTCTCAACAACCGCCGTAAAATCTACCGTTTTAGCCTTCCCTGATAATATGCCCAGTTAGTTTGCTCCCATTGATTAAGTTTCTGAATCTAACAAAAAGCAAAGTGAAAGATAGTGAGCCTCGGTCCTATTTCGATTGTTTAGGATCCTATATCTTTTTCACCAGCGACATCCACTGAGAAACGGGATGTTTTCTGTTCTTTTCAGTCACAGTTCAACCTTTGTTCATGGGATTTGTAACATAACCTTTCTATACGGTGTAGAGTTTTCTAGAGTTACCCAGCTTGAAAGCAAACAAAAAACTCCATTTGGAAAATAGTTCTGTACCGGGCCAGCGGTATGTAGCACAACACAGTTCTTAAAACAACGTGGCAGACGGTTGTATGTTGATTCAACTTATTTGCACGAGGTGAAAGCTGATTGCTGACCGCATGGTTTCGTAAGTTATGCCATATCTTTCCAGGTTAGGAAATCGTTTTTATCGATGCGATTCGGTTTCAACAACTGAACCATGGGAACCACATGCGCTCTTTTAGCAGTCTTGAAATTTATAGAGCCATCCATGACGGCATTGAATTCATACTACACAAATCTTCTAGCCTTCACGATAACAGTGTCACGTGAAGCTTGATTTCACATTTTCAAGGTATTCTGACCTCCTACCCATCTGTATCAACTGAGACACTCTTATTCCTGTTTCCTTGTCTGAAAGTGGTCATCCGGCTAGAGACCATACACCCGAGTCTCGCGTAGGTCATACCGCAATAGGTCGCGGGAGTTTAGATCTGGTTGACCTGCTTGGGCCGACCTGACTCTATTATCTTCCATGGGAGTCCTAACTTAAGATATCGCAATTTGCAGCTGGCACAGCGCGCCATATGTACTCACTTTTTTATGGGACGCACCCGACAAATTTAAACGCCAGACGAATAAATTTTGAGCAGCTGAGCGCCGACTTATGTGTGACCACGAATGTCGCACTGTTTTGCACAACTGATTGGATTTCTCTTCAATTACCGCGCTTACTTGAACGTACTGTCTTCCAGCCAACAGTGTCACTGTCGTAAACAAAACGGGGTCGGTCTTCTAAGAGTAGAAAGCTTTGTAACTGTGTGGTAGCTGGGTGGCTCAGGAAGACTGGTGGAACTTATCCTATCGCCAACCCTTGACTTGGCACAGGAGTAGGAAGGAGATCACGAAACGCTTGGGTGCTGTCGGTGCTACTCGCATTCCAGGATGGGGACCGCGTGATCCTCACTGTGCCTGGTTGGAGACACTACACGATATGGCTGCCAACCGATGTCAGTGGCGTTCTTGTTGTCAGTTTATATCCAGATCGTCTGAGTGAATGTCTGGAGGTATAGGCACCTCGGAATGATTGTGGTAAGCTAACACTAAGTTCCTTCCCCGTCCATCTTTACTCTTTTCTTTACAATAAGGCTTTCAAACAAATTAAGGTTGTACGACAGTGAAGCATCGGCGTCCAACAATGATGTCATGCTGTCGATGATGATGGTGATCAGTGGGGAATCTCAAGGAGACCTGATGAAAATCGGCTATATTGAGGATGAACCAACGGAAGGAAGAGCACTACGGCTCAGTTGGCTATAACAAGGTGAAACTGAAATATTACAAAATATCGAATTGTTCGTTAGGACCTGACAATCCTAAGGTGGGATGCGGAAGAAGGCCGAGAGCATGTGGTGTCGGGCATATAGACTGCGCTACTTGGCATAAGCACGACACAGGGCGTTTTGGCGGTAAAGCCAAAGCTAACATTCCACGGATGTCCTAACCGAGACCCCGTTGCGTAATACTTCACCCTAGATGAGTTAAGCTCTCTTGTCACTTTTGGACGATCAGGGACATACATTACATACTCTCAAGTGTTTAGTTTTCCTCACCTCATTTGACAACCAATGTCACGCATTCCGTTGTTTTTACATTCGACCAATACCTTCGGTTAGAAATTACACGGAAGCTGTTCGCTTCATGACTTTGCTCGAAACAGAATTTGGCACCGCCTACCATGTTTGTGATTCCCTTGTGCAAGTGAATCTTAGAATGGATACTTGTTTTTCCTTGCTTGCCTCAGTACAGCACTAAAGTTCACCCCGTAATACCATTCTAGCTGTTTGACCTTTGGCTTGCTATGTCCGTCCTTCCCCCTGAAACTAGATTCTAGAATATATCGGATCCTACTGAACGAATCCTGTCATGGCTATGCCCCTGGATAGACGGACTTTTCTACTTACTTTACAGATGGACTTCAAACACCGGTGGCGTTCGGATATCGAGACCTAAAAAGCGATTATCATCTCTGTCATGATGTTTGGCTTAGTTATGGTAATTCTGTGACAGGACCTCTGAATGCTCTATACCGTTGTACTAGCTCTTCGGGTTTTCACACTCCGCACCGATATTAAGCTCTAATCGACCGATAAATGTAGCTGACTTTCCGCTTGTTGGTTGGCGGTTCTTTGCGATATAAATTACGTGGAAGCATGTGATAATAGCAGATAGGTCGGGTAGGAATCGACTTGGCGCACGCCACTTTGTATTACCGAACTTAAACGTTACTTCAGGCTACCGAAAGTACGCCCTAGGCATTTGCGGTTTCCACCAAAGTTAGCCAATTATTCTCCACGTACCTGTACGAATTTTCATCGTCATTCTGAAGCGCTTTCTAGAAACATTTATTTCAGCTGTTTTTCCAGTGTGGATCTGCTGGTAGAACCCACATTTAAAAACAAAAGCTTGTCCAAAACACAGTAACACCGAGCACGTCCGTAGGTCACTCTATCCTCAAAATATGGCCGACTTAGTGCACAAACCAGCGTTTGAGGTTGGAAATCTAATGCAATAGACATTAAAATAATAATAATAATGATAATAATAATAATCAATCATAATCGTCGTCATCATCGTCATCATCATCATCATCGACAGCATGACAGTATCGATGCTTCGCTGCCGTACCGTACAGATTTATCTGAAGAAAAGAATGAAGGTGAACGGGGAAAGGATTTGGTGCTAGCTTACTACAACAAACCTCCAGACACTCATTCAGGCAATCGGCATATCTTCAGTTCCTGTAGTCCTACTGGAATCTGCCCTTCGTTGTCTGGACTTTACAAAGTGGCTAGTACCTCGTTATTTCGACCGTACTGTTGGATCAGGTGCGCCCATCGCGCCAAAAGCTCCTCACTGGCCGACCATCTCTGTTTTGCACCTGATAACAAGTGGTCAGCATTATCGAATCACACAAATGGTTGGGACAGGACGGTTGCCATTGCAACATCAATTGCGTGGACTACCGCGGTCAGGGTGTTGATAGTTATCAGCAATCAGGTGGGCCATGTTGAGTTAGGCGCAGAAACCCACCGGTTTAGGAACTGCTAGTCCCAAGTGGGATCCTCCGTAAATAGGTCAGTATGAAACGTTACACCTACCCAAAGTTCACACCAACTTAAGGCGAGGTGGTCACAAGATAGCCAAGCTCATGTGATTGACTTAAACTAGACGTACGGTACCGCTTGCACTTTTACGTCTCATGGTTGCCTTGTTGAGCCATCTATTCTGCTTGTGACAGACACCACGGTCTTACCAACTGCTGCCGGTTCGTTAACCTCTTCTGTCCGAACGAATAATCTGGGAATCCCCACAGCCCCGTCTTGCTTTAGAGGAGAACAGGAAGCAAAGTGCTTGTTTCAGAGAAAGCGGCGAAAGTGCCCAACTTTGTGGTAAACCTGATATTGTTCCTAGTTCAGCCCTGAACGACCTCTGAGAGCGTTCCGATTTACCGTCGTTCGAATTTTTTCCAATTCACATGTCCTCGTCTTCAGATCAGATTAATCCAGAAAAAACAACTTTCAGTGTTTGAGCATCGATGTCTTCGAAATATCCCACCGGTCCCGAACATAACCCGGTGCGAAGAGCTATCAGACACCAAGTGAAAGTGAGCTTGCGATCCGACCGTGAAGTATGGTGGACCTTACTTTAAGATAGTATTTGTTGAAAGCTATCGGTTTTCAGTTGACCCTTGTGGCTAAGTCGTCGAAATGTACCGTTCTTGCGAACAAAATCAAGACCCACAACAATTTAGGCAAACGGAAGTGAGCATCATTCTATTTTCCGTAGAACAAGTTGATTGAAATAGTTAATCACCAAAAAAGATAACCGTTCAGCTGAAACACCATTTCGGTGCCTAACTGCCATACCACCCGAAGAAGAGCGGTATCCCTGTGGAATTCCGCTCA